GTTGCGTCCTGTAAGTGTGCCAATGTTCAACGTGGCAATGCGCAGCGGTCTCACATGGGCTATCTTCTTTAGCCAGTTCCGCCCTTGAACCGGTAGCCCTCGTCCATTTTTCACGGTGGTCGGGCGAACCCACCGCGCGTCGCCTCCGGGGGACGCCCTAGCATTGTTCATTGAAGTAGTGCTTCGATCCATAGTTGCGACTCAATGTTACCAGCCGACCTGTCGCGAGGGTCTGACGCTCAAACATATTGTGCTCATTTCGAAAATTTGTAGCTTGATTCCAGAGCACTCCAGAGACCGGAAAAAAGTGGATTAAGGTCAGCGAAGGGTCGCCGGTTGAGAAGTGTGGGGCACACATGTCGTGGGCGGGGTCTGCTCTGATGTGGGCGGAGCCAGACAAAAAGTCTGTAAAGCGGTTCCAGAGCACTACCGAGACCGGACAAAGTGGATTAGCTCACACATGTCGTGGACGCGGAACTAGACAATAGTGTGTAAGATGGCTCACCACTCTGGACACCGAAAAAAAGTGAATAAAGGTCAGCCAGCGGCTGCTATTGAGAAGTGGGGCACTCATGTTGCGGGCGGAACCTGCTTTGTATGCAGAACTAAACAAAAAAATTCTGTAAAACGGTTCCAGAGATGTCGTCCGTTTCAACTCTATGATCGTGGTAGCTATTTGCAGCTCTCATGGGGTCCTAGGTGTATGTGACGTGAATCTGAGTCTCACTGCATCGGCAGTCATACTCTTAATCATCGGTCGCTGCAGATACAGTTGGTACGAGTCGGCTGGCCGCCTGACGCCGGCGCATCTCTTTCTGGGATATGGGCGGCATGGTCAGGCGAGCGCAGTTTCGATGCGCGATCCTTCTTTTGTTTTGTCAGAGTACTTGATTAATGCCTGACTTTTCTCTCAACTGTGCACCTGCTCGACGCTCCTTACCACTACTACATAAATTTACTTAGACCATGCGTACAGATGATAGATAGGAGCCGAGCTTCAGTCCAGCATCGCGACACAAGGAAAAAAGGTAGCGCGGCGAAGCCGACCCGTGTCACAGAAGGAGGCGCGCCGGCGTCAGCCGTCGAGCCGACCGTCACATTCGATCCCCGATGACCACCCTCATGCCATATCTTGGGGCGCATACGGAGCCCACTTGGGCCTCCTCACTGATGGGAGGGAGAAGGTTTCGAAACCGATCCCAGCTTTGTTTTTTCGAATGAATAACCATCTTGACGACCTTGGTTCCGCCAACGATAATTAGGGCGTCCTGAGGATGGGTAATTTCGCGAAATACGACCCTCTCTCCAAAATATTCTCTTCTGGTGTCTTTCTTCCTTTCTCTCTCCTTCTTTCTTATATGTACCCAAGCTGTTACGAAAACTTCATTAAGTTCTGCCGTCGAGCTAGGAAGAGAGTGCAGTGCACCTCCGACCAAATGAAGCGAGAAGAATCAACAGTCGGACATCGTCTTCGGCCAAAAATGACCGCTTCTCCTCATACGACCGAACAGGACCCCCTTCAAGAATTCTTCTAAGCATCTCCTTCAGCGACCAGAAAGTGCGGTTCATTGTGCCGTGCTGCCGTAGATGTCAGAAACAGTGAACGATGGGTTAGTGACGAAACTGACAAAATTTGAATAAAAAGTGGTGACAAGTTGGCATTCCCATATATATTCTGAAATGTCTAAACTTCTCGGTCGATAGATACCAGGGTACCCGGACGCGGCTGTACAGTGCACATAAGGATGGAAACTCGAGCTGAGGGAAGGGGGAGGGGATGAGTGGAGAGAAACTCCCCAGTCCCCCACCTCGCGGGTCAAAACTAACAATGTGAAGATTTTCTTTGATTACAACCAAAATCTTTCAGTGGATATGGCCATTCTCGCCTACACCAGACCATCCATCTTACGCTCGACTAAATTACATGGTCGTTTACGAACCGCAATCTATAAGTGAGTCGTATAGATCCCTCTGACTTCTAGAGACGCGATGAACTGAGTGCAGTCCATAAAAAGATAGAGCATGCTGCATCAGCTAAACCCCTTTTGAAATACGCCATGCATTCTACTTCCATCTGGAATCCTATTTTGATTGCGATTCTAGCCCACCATGGGGGGGACAGTTGATGTACAAGCCACCGTTTCCATCCTCAAGCAAGTTTGCTGCCAAGTGCTCGACCAGAGAAAGGGAAGGTTCGATAGGCCAAAGCGAAGACCTCTCGACATTTGACTCTTGGAGACCAACCCAGCCAGCATGTATGCAAGGTGCCGAAAGTGGGTGTGTAGATTGCCGCGGAACTTTGTTATAACACAAGTGCTGCACCTTGATAGCGGAAAAACACCTATCTACCTTCTTGCCTCACTTCTACCTCATTTCCAGTGATTGAAGTGGCAGTTTCCTACAGCGGACTTGTCCACCTCGCTTATGACGAGGATCTCTTGGAGGGAAGGTTCAAGCGCATCTACAAGCAAAACTGGGATCATAGTTATCCGAATACATTGATTCACCCTCCCAGGAGCTCCTTCACGCTCTGAGGCCCACGGGAAAATCCTCGTCTCCTTACGATCATTCTAGTTTCGCAAACGGAATCCTTTTGCAAACAGAATCCTTTAGCCCTTCCTCCTATGGTTATAAGCACAGAACAATCACTGATCGTTTATCAGCAGTAGACTGAAAGATTACCATAATTACCACAAACTTTTTCAGCTGAAGCAACAGCGATCGAACCAAGGCCTCCTCAGCCAGACGGCAAGCTTGAGAAAACAATTCCATTGCCTGATCCCTACCATAATATAACTAAAAAAGCTGCACTGAGGAAAATCAGAACGCGTTCACGGCAGAAAGCAAAAGAGGCACGGGAAGAAGCGTTGACACGATTAAAATCTGCCGTACAGGAAACGGAAAAAGTAGAAAAGACCCAGTCAGAACAGCACCAACTAGCAAAGCCAAAAGAAAAACAGCATAATTCAGGAGATCATGTCAAACATAGGAAGAAACGTTCGCACGATAAAGATAAAAAGAAGAATAAAAAAGCTGCAGGACATTCTACAAGCAAAACAGCTACCATTCCTCAGCTTGCTGGTACCCAGACTCTAAGCTGGGAAAGCCTCGATGCTGGCGAACCTCAGAAGGCTAAAAAATCAAAAAGAAAAGTACACCACAAGGAGAAAAAACCAGCAGTTCCATCCTCTACCGAACAGAAAAAAGAAGATGGCAGCTCAGAAGACGATAATGACATGTTGATGGTAACAGCCGAGGACAAAGGGATATCAGATAGCACCGAAAGTGTGGACCAAAAACAAACGCCTGGCTCTCAAGAACACTTGGCCACCGATTTATAACGTGTATCAGACCTACGTTTCATGTCCAGAGCTCATATTCTACAGCCTTTTTATAATATTTTCACACGCACTACTTACAGGCTGTACTGTTAAAATAAAATATTGATTTAACTGTCATCAAATCTCGTTTTTACAAAAATGATCGGCTATTGTAAATCACATCATTCTGAACTGTCGACTTGAAGACGACCTAAGGCATTAAGTAGTTAAGAAATAAATCCAAAAGGCGCAGTCCACAGGTCATATGGGCGCGGTAAGGTCCACTAGTGTTTCTCCCTCATTGATGTGATCTTTGCTTGTACTACGGTGAAATACGTGACAGAATAGAGATGAGGAAGGCAGAGAGGTCGCTGTAATATCGCCCACCGAATATGGTACATCGTTCCTTGCACGAAGCCTCTGTCCCCAGTGGACAAGGGGTGCCACTCGTATTTAAGGGTCGTGGCAACTATGTCAGCGGAAGTGGTGTAGTGGGTCACAACCGGGTCAATCATCACGTCCCGAAAAAGAGGTCTGTTGGTACGATCCATCCAGGGAAAAGTGTCTATACATTCCGTCCCCACCCTCCTCATACTACGTTAATACTTTGCGGCAGCGTCAGGAAATGATATACATAATTCCATCTGGGCGTCCAGCAGGGCCGACAATGATCAGTTAGTTAGCAGCGAACAACGGACCAATCAGGGTCGGACCAAAGCGATTAGCAGCGTCCAGAATTGACAAGGAATGAGGAGTATGGAGCCAAGGGTAGCAGACAGCTTGTACCCTGTAGCCTCATACACTCCATCAGCTGTCTGGTCTACCAGCAGTGTGCTACCCTCCTATCTCCCAATCTCTACCAGTTGTCTGCTACCATCCCCCCAACCATACCGCCCCGCTCTCCAGTCCTGGACGCTGTTTTCGCTGATGGATGCTAGTGAACACTGGTAGACGCGGCTTGGCCCTAGAGCGGTATCTATGCTTCCCTAGTCATTGAGGCTGCCGGACGCTCGGAACGTTAGTGGTCGCTGCTGGGGCTGCAGCTAAGTATGAACGCAGCCTGACGATGTGTCTGCCCAATATCTGCGGTTGCGTCGCGTTTTTTAAGCACGGCAGCACACAATAGCCCTTTTTGGTTGTAAGCTCTACCACAGGAAAAATCGCCATTCGGCGGATTTTTGACTCAGAAAGTTTGCCTTACAGCTGCGCGAAAGAAGAGTTCCCCCGACTATACAGTAACATTTCTGTTCAGAACCCCGTCGAGTTCCAACAAACGGCCCCGTCGACTTCTAACACTTCTCTTCCCTTTTGTGAAAAAGGAGCTGAAGCTTAGAGGAGCTAACACACGCTTGTACGGAATGCGTCGCGCACTTGTCTGTCCACTGAGACGCAGCGCCCGCTAGAAATATGGATCTATGGAATATGGACCTAATATGGATCAAACAGCGTTCTGGACCAGCTACTCGATTAATACTGGTGGACAGCGCCCGCGTGTCAATGCTATACTCTGGTCACAAGTCCCTGACGTCATTACCACACTCTTGTAAGCCAGTACATTCTATGCAGCTGGCACCTGCCTTCCGTGCAGTCTTCTCCACTGCGGACGCTGGGGTGTCAGAAGAGACTGTTTTGCACAAGTCCCTGACGTCTTACCACACTCTTGTATAAGCCTGGTGGCGTCAACCCGCTCTCTACGAACAGTTGAAGAAGACAGCCCTTAACAATTGGTAAAACACGGCCGGCGCAGCGCGCCAGCCTAGCTCTCCTAAAACCTGCAGCAAGCACGACTGTACGCTCCGGGAGTTTCTCTCCCAGGTAACCACGGCATATAGCTCTAAATGAAACTTGTTCCACTTCTAGGCTTTGTGTCCCGCGGTTCTGGCGGTCTGTGAAGCAGCTGTTACTACCGAGCAGCAGCAATGAGGCTGTCGGAGAATGAGACTACAACTTTTTGCGAGCCCTCTTTCTTTTTCTGTTACTTTAAGATCACAGTGGTCGCTGAAAAATTCCAAAGAAGTCCTATAAGTTAACCACAAGTGTGCTGAGGTGCTGGCAAGGTCAGATTACGGGCGGGAATCGAACTCACAGTTCACGCTTTCCGTTGGTTGCGTTCCTATGAGTATCCATATTGCACACTACCTCAACTGCCTACTCCTTCCGGCCACTTTAAGGTCACTCCCTTCCTTTCCGGGAGGACATTCATAGACGAAACGTTCCATGGAGAGGAGACGTGAAAAACGTGTTAATAGCAGCAAATGATACGACCGTGATAAGCAGTTCATTTTAGATTATTTAAGCTCATTTCCGAAGCAAAACTGTCCATTTCGCCTTACACCATTGCTACCTGATATCCCTTCCTAGAATGTCCTCTGCTCCATCGTTCGTGATACGTTTGGTGTTTACCACTGTACACAGGACAGTTAATGATCTTTCGTTTTCAGTTGGGACACCTGGGATGTGGACGAAAGATTTGTAAGGCAAATCATTGAAGTAAGTTATTGAATATGCAGGAGTATCCACATGGAGTCTTTCCTTTTCAGGCAGCGAATCGACGAGCCGGCAAAGTTATCACGGACGAAGACAAGGCACGTCGTCAACGTCAGATGAAAAACGCTGAGAAAGTGAAAGAGCTTGCGATGACCATATCAAAGAAGAACAACTCAGTAGCTGAACGAGTAAGTACTACTATGATCCGAGGAACACAGCATGCAGTAGTCTGCCACTCTGAGGACTTCAAATTTTCCACAACCCAAGTGAGGGCCAGAAACCAGATCTGAACTCGTCCTTCGGCTTGGTATAACCCAGCCCACCAACCGCAACCACTTACATATCCTCTTGTGAATCGAGGTGTGAATGAGCGAATGAGTAGAGCGATAAGCTTAAGCTATGATAACGATACGCATTGAGAAAGGGAACACGTGTGCAACAAAGGCAGTAAGGCTCGATACTTTGCGGCAGTGACTTTTAGGAGATTAAGGGCACATGGCACGGCAATTTTGGGCTTGGACTGAAATGCAAGCATGGCCATATAGTGGGGAAAATGGCGAAAAAACGGATTGCAACAGTCGAACGCCTGCAAAGCCTTCGTTCTTAATGACTCAAAAAGCATCGGACGAGTTTCCCGTAGGCATCTTGCCAATAACCGCTACGGTAGATACGGCTGCATGTATGTACTCATATATCCATGCAGCACCGCAGCCGCTTCATATCAATCCCTTCGCTTCATATTTTACTTCGCAAATGAAGCAATACGAGCATCAGGTACGGTCGTCCATTTGTGGGCGGGCGGGCGTGGTAGGCGTTCGGGTCGGTATGTTGTAGCTTGCTAGAGGGCACCTTCCTTGGAATGGGCACTACGCAGGGCCTGCACGTTTTAGCGGACTGATTGTAAAATTTCACCCGACTGATTGAAAAGTGCACCCCATACATCACGACCATTCTGTTCCACTCCTAACTTTCCGTGGCTGACTGTCCATCTTCTGACGCCTGTCTTTCGGAGGAATTGATCCCCACAGTGAGAGAACCAGGCGAACCGTGACGAGAGTTAGATACAAATCGACCGCCTTAGTCGATTTTCCACATCGAGAAAGATGAGAAATCAGCTCCTATCCAACTCTTTTTACGGACCCACTTTCCTTTAAGAAGACGAAACGCGGTCTTCTCAGTCCTTGTGCCGGCATTTCGAAAATAAATCATCTACACAAGTTCAGGTTCGCTGTTACATTCGCCACTCACAGGAAGTGGAAGAGGATATACGCAAACTTACACAGAACATGATTGAAGTTAGTATTATACTTCGGAGCTAGGTGACTAAGGAGGGGCCACTCTCCAGCGAAAATCAGCCACGCCATGTTTTGACAGGACAAAGTCATGTTAGAACATGTCACGCTGTTTCGGTGAGAGGGTGAACACGAGGAGACAAAATGTGGCTTATCCACCTAGAGTGTCCCCTCCCAAGGC